AGGCAATAAAAGACACACATTATCAGTCATTGTAATAACAAATGCTCAACCTTTTGTTATAATATGTGAAATCTGTTGACAGAACAAAATGAAATACAAAAAGTCTACTAATAAAGAGTTCTTACCAAGAAATCACCGAAAAACTCATGTAAAATGAAGAATGGAAAATCATTTTTAAGGGGTAAATAAATGTAATCTGACAGATAAATGAATTTGCGAGGAATTATGATGAAAAGGATGTAGTGAGAATGGGATTTGATAAAGACAGGATGTGTAAAAAACATGAGGAGGAGTATGATGATGAATAAAAGGGAAATGATTTTTCTAACATAGATAAATATAATTTTTGTTCACATATATATATATATATATATATATATATTCACCCAATAATTTATCAAAAAAATAAAATACAAAAAATCAATTCTCCTATAACAACAAAATAAATTGTGAAAATGTACAAAAATTATATTCAAACTCGAATTTAGATCGAGAAACACACTAAACCACCAAACGGTACTACTAAGATAATTCTTGGTTGCATTGTAATTGCATGAAATTTTTGTAATCAATTCGAATGCCTTCTTGACATTGTCAGCTCCAGCAATTTCTCCAATATCAATGGCTGCAATTGTATTATTAGCATCAAGTTTCTGGTCAGAATCGCACTCAACTCTCACCAATGAATTATCATTCCATTCAATTTTCCATTCTCCAATTAAGATCCCTGTGTGAACAACTCCATAATTATTTACATTAAGAATGTCTGCGAATGTAGCCATTGCCTTCTTGGTTAATTCGTGTTTTCTTAAAGATGAAACCAACAACTTGACGCTCACAACTGCTGGAATATTGGAAACAATTCTTGAATTTTTCTTCATTGTAGGACGAACAAAGTGAAAATGCATGAATCTGTCTTCACAGACATATCTTTGAGCTTCCAAATCTAAACTTTCACTATATCCAAGCTTCTCTGGTGTAGTGTTGAATTCTTTAAGGTATGCTCTAATCTTTTTCTTGGCTAGCTCAACTCCTTTAAATTCGGCTTGTGATAATCTCCAGCTTTCTATTGGAATTTGAACATCATATTCTTGATTTTCATTCTCTACACCAGAAGATTCAGAGTTAACATATGGCCTAGTACTATTATTACATAACTTTAGGAAAGTACTTGTAGTGGTTGGATTATTGGAATGCACTTCACTTTCAGATTCGCTATTTGATGAAACACTTTTGTCTTCTTTCATGAAGAATAACTTTCTCTCATCCTCAAACTTTGCAATCACAACTTGATAAACAAAGAACTTGGATTCTCCTTCATCATTTACATACTTATTCACAACATCGATCAATCTTTCCTTCTCCACTTCAATCTCTTCCTTTGTTTTCATTTTACAAAGTTTATCATAATCTGCTCCATTAAATTTGGCATTCTTCTCCAGAGCTTGTTTTACTTTCTCACTTTCGAATTTGTAATGTTTACACAAAACAACTAGTTCGAGATTTGTTAATTTGTGGAGAGGTTTTTGGAGAAGTTTTTTAATGTCAATTACCGATGGTGTGCTACATATTCTGCTTGGTGGAGGTGCAATACTGGAAGAAAACTGTCCCATTTTTTTTTAATATTTGACTTGTAATCAAGGTTTCTAATTAGTTTTATTGGGAATGAGAAAGACGAAACGTGATTTCACAAATCTAAAATAGAAGCGTTTGCATGCTTTTAGTTTAATCGTGATTGTTGTGAGGAAACAATGTATTCTATGAATACACAGAATTAATATGCATTGAAAAGATGTCCAAATGAGATCAATTTCAAAGTAATGAATGACAAATACCTTTCTAAAGAATGAAGAAATTTTACAAAGTTTAATATTTCCAAATATCAATAGAAATATATAAATTAATAGTTGAATGGCATGTCGAATGTAACCAAGCTTCTTACAGTTGAATCAGTAGTTGGTAGATAGAAACTCACACTCATATCAGATTTGAGAATGAATCAATTTTTTGATGATAGCAACAAAATTCTGAATTCTTTCACTATTGTTTTCTATTCTGTCATCCTACGACCAGGTATCAGCTGTGAAATAACCAGAACATATTATGTTTTATTCCGATCAAAAGCTTTCCACTACAATAATTCATCAATATTATCATCATTTCATAAATATTTAATATTCTATTTTCCACCGTAGCTAA